TGAATTTGAAGGGGTTTTTTTGTTTTGTTTTGTTTTGTTTTGTTTTTTGAGACGGAGTCTCTCTCTGTTGCCCATGCTGGGGTGCAATGGCTTGATCTTGGCTCATTGCAACCTCTGCCTCCCAGGTTCAAGGGATTCTCCTGCCTCGGCTTCCTGAGTATCTGGGATTTCAGGCACCTGCCACCACGCCCGGCTAATTTTTGTATTTTTAATAGAGACAGGGTTTCACCATGCTGGCCAGGCTTGTTTTGAACTCCCAACCTGAGGCGATCTGCCCGCCTCAGCCTCCCAAAGTGCTGGGGTCACAGGCGTAAGCCACCGTACCCAGCCTCAAAGGCTCTTAATCTTGGTATCAGCCACACTCATTGTGAATGGGAGCCCTACTTTGGAGCTGATCCAAGGGAGCTTGTCACCCTGTTTCTCAGCCCCTCTGGAATTTAAATGGTAGGACCCCCACCATTTAGTGCCTGGGCTAATTCCTCAGTGTCCCACATGTCTCTTGGGGTATGCCACTACCTCTGTTCTGCCTACTGGCCTTCAGGGCCTGCCACTCTGGTCATTCCCATGGTCTGGTGACGTGGGCATTGTCCTGCTGCTCAAACACCCAGGGACCTCCCCTGCCCCCACTTCCCTGCCACCAGGAAGCTGGGTCAGCTTGGCCTCTGTCTCCTGTCAGCTCCGGAGATGGTGAAGGGAGAACCCATCGGCTCTGCCACGGACATCTGGGGAGCGGGTGTGCTCACCTACATTATGTGAGTGTTCCCCACCCCACCTCAGCCCACTCTGCCTACACAGTGAGCTTCCAGACTCACCTTCTGCCAACACTCTCTCCCTGGTGCCTCACCTCCCCTATACACATCCACACCACGCACACTCACTCAGGTGCAGAGTAGCAGGGCCCTGAGCCCTGTGCACCTGACACTAATGTCCTTCCGGGTCTGGGTGTTGGCCTTCAGTCTGCATGTGTCAATCAAGCTATCTTGCCCAACAGGCTCAGTGGACGCTCCCCATTCTATGAGCCAGAACCCCAGGAAATGGAGGCTCGGATTATGGGGGGCCGCTTTGATGCCTTCCAGCTGTACCCCAATACATCCCAGAGCGCCACCCTCTTCTTGCGAAAGGTCCTCTCAGTACATCCCTGGTGAGTGAGCCCCACACCAGCCATCTCCCCGAGTTACCTGCCCCTGGCCTGGTCTGTGCTAGAGATCCCCCAGCTCCTCCCATGCTCCTAGGAACAAGTCTGCTGCTTCCACTAAATAGTCATGCTACCTACCATTTAAAGCCCAAGGCAACCCCATGCGAGGCAGAACCACTGTCCGCATTCCAGAGATTCGGGAACTGAGCTCTTGAGCTGCCCAAGATCACACATGTAGGGGTGGATCCAGGACTGGGACATGGGTTTGGAGGAGGACAGAGCCTCGGCAGCTCCCAGAGCCATCCTTCCAGGCTCATGATCCTTGGCTCCGCCTGGCAGGAGCCGGCCCTCCCTGCAGGACTGCCTGGCCCATCCGTGGTTGCAGGACGCCTACCTGATGAAGCTGCGCCGCCAGACGCTCACCTTCACCACCAACCGGCTCAAGGAGTTCCTGGGTGAGCAGCGGCGGCGCCGGGCTGAGGCCGCCACCCGCCACAAGGTGCTGCTGCGCTCCTACCCCGGCGGCCCCTAGAGGCATGGACCACAGCCAGGCCTCAGGCTTTGACTGGGGTTCCCACCAATGCCACGGGACATTCCAGGGCCCACACTGAGCCAGGCGGACCTGGGGCTTCGGATACCACCAGCAGCAACATCTGGCCGGGCTCTTACCTCATAGACCTGCAAGGACAGCGACCCCAGGGCCTTGGCCTGATGCCACCCCAGGCCAGAGCCAGAGTGGAAGACCCGCTGGCCAGGCTGGGCAGGGTGGAAACAGGCGGAGGGACAAGAGGGGAATGGGAAGTGGACAGGAAAAGGAGTCAAGGGACAGGAAGGGGGAGGCTCTAGGAAGGTTCTGGGTTGGGGGTCAGTGCATCTCAGGGAGAACCAAGGCAAGGGGCATGGCTGGAGAGGAGGAAGAGGAAGGAGCCCAGGGTGTCAGGGCAGTAGGCTGCGAGTCAGTGTGGCAAAGTGGGCGCAGTACACAGAGGCCGTGGCAGGGGCCCAGGGCCAGGACTCGAGAGAGGGCAGCGAGGCGGTGGAGGGAGAAGAGAGGACTCAGGTGGAGGTAGGAGGGGGCCAGCTGCCGGCATCCCTCAGAGGAGAAACGTGGAGAGCTGGAGGCCAGCGGTCACTCACGCTTGCTCTCCTCCTGTCCAGTGGATACAGCCCCGGGTGCACTCTGCTGGCCCCCACCGTCCCTCCATGGCCTTTGGCCTTCTTCCCATTCATATTTATTTATTTATTGACTTACGAAGTTTCCCCTTCCATCTGATCCCTACCGCCCATGTTGTCCTGACCATCACTCCCAGCCATCCAGCTGTCTGTCTGTCTGTCTGTCACAAGGAAATAAAAATGGCAAGCAGCAGAACCTGTGTCTATGGAGAGGGATGGCTGGAAGGGAGGATGGCTGGGGAAGGGTGAGTTCCGGGGCATTGAGCCCTCTCTGGGCATTCCCCAACACACACATTCAGGAATATACCAGCTAGCACTTTGGGTCCTCCCAACCCCGCCCCTCCATCCTCCTGGCTCTTCACCTCTCCTTATTCCTGGAAGGAGGGGAGACTGTGGTCTGCTTCTCCCCCTGCAGTTTCTGGAATGCTGGCAGATCCACTGAACCCCCGAAATCAGGTTCCGGTAGTCCCCACCTCTTGTCAGGTATTCCCTCATCACAGTGTGGGGATGCTGGGCTCTGAAATAGGCCAGCTCTCACCCCAGTCCTGGCTGAGCCTCATTCACTCTGCCCAGAAGACAGGCAGGAGCTCTGGTCCTGACCCCTGGAGCAGAGTGGGTTTCATCCCAATAGTTGGTGAGAGTAGGTGGTGTGAGGAGCTGCAGAAGAAACCAGGACAGGGCCAGGCACAGTGGCTCACCCCTATAATCCCAGCACTTTGGGAGGTCGAGGCAGGCAGATCACCTGAGGTCAGGAGTTCAAGACCAGCCTGGCCAACATGATGAAACCCTGTCTCTACTAACAATACGAAAGTTAGCCAGGCATGATGATACACACCTGTAATCCCAGCTATTTGGGAGGCTGAGGGATGAGAAGCGCTTGAACCTGGGAGGTGGAGGTTGTAATGAGCCAGGATTGCACCACTGCACTCCAGCCTGGGCAACAGAGCAATACTCCATCTCAAAAAAAAAAAAAAAAAAAAAAAAAAAAAAGGCAGGCCCACGCCCCTCACCCCCTCCATGTCACAGCACAGGTCAGAACACATGGAGAGCACCAGCTGGGAATGCTCTGGTGTGCTGTGTCCAGTGTGTCCAGCCTTTTCCTAGGGCTGAGGGACACACCAGCCTGGACCTTCTTGTCTGCATGGTAAGTTAGGAGGTCTGCTAGGTGCTAAAGCACTCGACTCTAGCTACTCCCTGCAGTGCCACAGAATGGTCACTGGGACCTAGGAGTGAGCTGCCCTGCCCTGAGGTTGGGGATGAGGGATGGCGGAGGGCCCAGGTCTCCCTGTCTCCAGAGGAAATGTTGCCCCCATTCCACCTTGAAAACTCTGTTCTTGGCAAAGTAAAAGGAACAAAGCCTGTGACCAGGGCAGAGAGAGTTGACACTGCTGTGCTGCGGAGGGAGGTTGAGGGTCCCTTGGCTCCAGCTCAGACAATCCTTTTGCTCTGCCCAGCCCAGCCTCTCTAACTTCCCAGGGCAACAGGGCAGAGGCAAGCTCCATCGTCATAAAATAACAGGATGTTAAAGCCAGCTGGAAGGGACCAGAAAGATGCCTTGCCAACCTGTCATTTTAGCGATGAAGATATACAGTTTGCCTGTGAGAATCTCCAATCCCCTACACACTGCAAGTGTTTTGTATAAAAATGAGGTGCCTGAACTCATATCTTGATAAATGGTAAAATTCTTCTCATCTGATCTTGAACTCCCTTCCCATCTCCACTGGAAATGGCATGAGAACTGCTTGTTCCAAACCCAGAGGAGCAAAGGTAATTTATGTCAGCAGAGCTATGTCAAAATTGCTCTGATCAAAAGGTGACAGTGCCCCCACACTAGGGCAGGTAGTTCCAATGAATGGAAGTCATGCTTGCACCCAGTGCCCAGCCTGGGCAGACTGGCCTCCAGGCAAGCCCCAGAGGGGTTAACTGAACCCCTTCACCCCATGTGGTTTGATGTTCCCATGCACCAATTTATGTCCCCAAAAAGGACTTGGGCAAACCTAGGGTTGGGGGCCAGTAGTGGTACCAATCTCCAAGGACAGTGCAGTCTAAACAGCCCCTCCCATGTGACACCAAGGAGAGTGACTGGAGGTGGGGATGGCTTGGAGGGGTTACTATTCTAATCTTTTCCGTCTCTCCCGGTTTATCTCATTTTACCACCAGGGGGCACAGTGTGGAAGTGACAACCCTGGACTCCTGGGGTTGGGGGGTAGGAAGGGGTAAGGGGCTTCTGGGTTGGTCTTGACAGCCACGTGGCCCTGTTGCCATTAGCTGTAGGGGCCCTGAAGCCCGATGCCACTCTGGTTTTATTCAGGGACACCCCACCACCACCAAACGCTCAAACACCTTAACAGGGCATGTTGTCTGACTGTCCAGAGCCCAACCTGAGTGAAAAGCTGCCCCAGGAAGCTGGATGTCTCGTCAGCTAGGGGCTGAATCTGGTCCTCCTGGGAGTCCAATGGATACCCCCTGCCCTGGGAGGGGACAGGGTGGCATCCAGCTGTCCAGCTGTCCAGGTGCTGACGCGAGGCGCACCCCAGAGCCGCTCCGGTTTCCCCCCACGGGGCCTAGCCCAGCGGCTGAGCCAGCATCCCAGGCATCTGCAGGCTAAATAAAGAGCCTGCTTGGGTCAGAGAGTGGGGGATGGGGTCCCAGGGGGCTTGGGGCAACCACGACAAACAAGGCAAGGAGGGGAGCGATGTATAAAACCGAGCCCAGAACTGAGCACCTGCCTGCACCCCTACTGTGCCATCCAGAAGGGCTCTGTGCTGCCTGCAACCCAGCCAGTCGACTCAAGTCCTAGGTCGATCCCTCCACGGTGAGTCCGATCCTTAGAGAAGCTGAAGACACTCCCATTCCCCCACCCCACTGAACGTTCTGACCAGGGAGGAAAAGGGCTGAAGGTGGGAGTCTCTGTCTCAGTCTGGACTCCCACATTTGTTGCCCACTCCCAGATGTCTAAAGCAGCTCCTGCCAAAAAGCCAGTGGCTTCTGCCCCACCTCCTGGATGTACCCTGGACATCAATGACCCACAGGTCCAGAGTGCGGCCATTCGCATCCAGGCCTCTTACCGGGGCCACAGGTGAGAGGGAGCCTAGAGCCCTGCGGAGGAAGGGAGCTGCAGAGAGCACATTATTGAATGGGGTTTGGGGGAGCCCTGAGCGATGTCTGGAACCTCTGAAATGACTGGTCTTAGGGGAGGGTCGTTACTGAGGTGTGGAGGAGTGGCCGGCAGGAATGGATCATCCTATCAGGGCAGTAGTTCAGGAGCAGTCCTCTTTCCTTCAAGCCCCACGTTTAGGGGTCTGGCGGGCCCAGGGGGCAGACAGGAGATGGTGCGCTCGAGGAAAGGGCTATGGTCGGGCCTGTCCTGAGAGCTCTGGGCCCTGACTCGGCCCGCGGGTAGGTCCCGGAAGGAGCTGCGCGAGAAGGGGCCGCCGCGGGTGCTGGAGCCGCTGAAGGACGTGGTGCTGATCGAGGGCAGCGCGGCCAAGCTCACTTGCCGAATTTCGGCTTTCCCGGACCCGTTCATCCGCTGGAGTAAGGACGGCAAGGAGCTGCGTGACGGGCCCAAATACCGCTACGTGTTCGAGGACCCTGACGTGGTGGCACTGGTGGTGCGCGACGGCGAGCTGGCAGACCTGGGCCAGTACAGCATCAATGTCACCAACCCCTTCGGCCAGTGCTCCGACTCGGCGCGCATCCTCGTGGAAGGTACGAGCGCCCCGGGCGCAGCGCCAGGGCGCAGACCAGCTCCACTCAGCCAGAGCCCGCATTCCGGTCCAGCTGCCCGTGTTTACCCCTGGGCCTAGCTATAGGGTCCCCACCAGCCCAGCCCCGGGCACAGCCTGGGGCTCATCGCTGCTCCAGCCAAGTGCGTCCTTCCCTACCTCGGGATCCAGCCCCACCCGAGCAGAGCAGTCTGCCGTGGGCTTCCATCACGCGGCTCCAGGGCCCCAAGGTCACACAGCAAGCCAGGAGCAGAGCCAGGGTTAGACCCGGGTCTTCTGGCTCCCAACTCTGGGCAATTTCCACTACCAGGAGCGGTGTCTGAGGCACAGCAAGATGTGTGAACATTTAGGGGCTTTCGCTCGCTTTAACGCTCTTGATCCTCTATTCGACCCGGAGAAGTAGGAGAGGTAGGGATAAGTCCCTTTAACAGCCGAGGAGATGAAACCAGAGAGGCTAATGATTCGCTCAGCGTCACACTTCGAGTTTAAATGCGTCTGTATTTAGTGCCGGGTATCAACTGGGGAGGTGATGCCCTTGTCGTGCCTCATCTCCGGGTCCTTCACGGGGTCTCGCTCCCCTTCCCTTCCTCTAGTCCCGGCGAAGATTCAGAAGGGACCCGACAACACTAAGGCGCGCAAAGGCACCACCGTGACGCTGACTGCGGAGATCCTGGGAGAACCCGCGCCCGACGTGGGCTGGACCAAGGACGGGGAAGATATCGAGGAGGACGACAGGCGAGGGCCGGGACCTGCGGCACGGGCAGGGCCTGGGGCTGGGATCTGGGTGGGACTGAGCCCAGAAATCCGGCGGGAGTGACAGGGGCGGGGACTGGGCGGCGAGGAACGGAGCTGGGTAAGGAGCCCGGCCCAGTGCGCTGGGTACTGACCGCGGCTCCGCCCTCCTCCCCACCCCCCCTCCGCCCTTCTGCAGGGTGTTCTTCGAGATCGGCAGCACCACCACGACGCTGACCATTCGCCGGGCCACGCCTCAGGACAGCGGCAAGTACGAGGTGTACGTGGAGAACAGCCTGGGCATGGACCAGAGCTTCGCTCGCGTGGACGTGGCCTGAACGGCACCCCCTAGACCTTCCGCCCTGGCGCCGAGCCCAGGGGTGGGTTCCAGCTTGCTTAATAAAGCTGCTCTCTGACCCTCCGCGTCTGTTCTGCCCTTCCGCGTCGCCATCTCCTCTCCCCCGCACCCGCGCCCACACGTATTTCAGACCCCCACGCCGAGGTCACAGACTGTTGGAGTCATAGGGAAGTCTGGAGAGCGCCTAGCGGCGTGCGCATTTCACACAGTCAACCTGATAGGATTGCCTAGCCGTCCAAGGCGCCCTCACTTTCCAGCGGGACCAGCGGCGGCGGCCGGGACTCCGCCTTCACCTCTTTTGAGCGCCTCCAGCCCCAGCCCCTCGAGGCTGTTTGCCCTTGGCCCTGCCCCTTCCAGGGCTGGCCACACCCTCTTCGGTCCTCGGTCCCGCTTTCCTCTGGGTCCCAGTTCCTCACTTCGGCTGCAGGCCCGGGACCCATTCCTCGACAGCTCGGGTTCCAGTCTTCGGTTCCAGTGTCTCCTTCTCAGGCCCCACCCTTTCCCTCGTTTAACCCACCTTCGATCCCTTGGCCACGCCCCCAGGCTTCAGCACTGCTCTCCTCGCCCATGAAGTTAGGAAGCGGGAAAAGGTTCAGACTACAATTCCCGACAGACCCTGCGAATGAGTTATCGCGAGTTGCGAGAAGACACGTGCGCGGAAGGAGCTGGCAGTAGCGGGCGGCAGAGCTGGAGTAAAGGGAGCTAGTGGTAAAGTGAGCTGGTGGAGCAGTGGCGGAAGGGGTAAGGGGCAGGTGACGGCCTCGAGACGGAGGGCGGGCTCCGAGGTCCTGGCTGGCCCTCGGTGCGCCCGAGCCTGTGTTGGTCCCACAATCCTTGGCAATGAGAGGCCAGGGTTCATTGTACAGAGTCACTTGTGGGGTTGTGAGGGTCAGCAATCAATCAGTCCTCTGAATCCAGAGATTTAGACCAGTCGTCCGTATTAGGACTGGGGCGGGGTCTGTAGTTTCAGTGTTTGGGATGCCAAGGGAACCTGTCTTTTGATTTGGGGTTCAACATATAGAGGTTAGTTTTAGGATTCATGTTCAGCATATAGAGGATTTTTGCTGGAATTAGGGGTTCATCAAATTCAGATCAGTGTTCATTACTTGGGGGTTATGTTCAGGATTGAAGTTAAATATCTGAGGCTCACTCGGGGTTTGCTGTTCAATATTCAGGGTTCATTATTGGGATTCAGGGCTTAATATGTAGAATGAAGACGCAACACTCGGAATCAGTGGGTTTGAGGTTCCAGTATTTTGAGGTTTGGGGTCTGAGAAGGGGGGTCTCTGCAAGGTTTCTGAATTTGCAGAATTTGTTCATGGTCAGAGGGAAGTCTTTTAGAGATCAACTTGTGGGGTTTGAATTTCAGAATTTGGGAGGAATCACTGTGAGGTTTGAAGGCCGACTGGAATCTGGGTTGGGATTTGAGATGTGTGGGATTTGTGAGGTTCTGTCCAGGCAGGGACTATATTGAGCTTTGGGTTTACATCTTGGGGGAGGGCTAAGTGCTGCTATTTGGGGTTTGGGGTTTGGTTGGGGTGTGAGATCTGAGCTTGATTTCTCTGCCGGGATTTGAGATGTGTGGGATTTGTGAGGTGTTGGGTCCAGGCAGAGACTATATCGAGCTTTGGGTTTATATCTTGGGAGAGGGCTAAGTGTTGCTATTTGGGTTTTGGGGCTTGGTTGTTGGGGTATGAGATCCGAGCTTGATTTCTCTGTTGGATTTGAAGTTTAGGTAGCAGTCACCATCATGCTCAAAGCGGTGATCCTGATTGGAGGCCCTCAAAAGGGTGAGGTGCCAGGGGAATGGAGGGAGGAGGTTAGGCTGGAGTGGTAGGTGGGATGGGGGCAGAAGAAGGCAGGAGGCTCTGAAATGTCCTCCCCTCTCCTCTCCCAGGAACTCGCTTCAGACCTTTGTCGTTTGAGGTGCCCAAACCACTGTTTCCTGTGGCAGGGGTCCCTATGATCCAACACCATATTGAGGCCTGTGCCCAGGTAACCTCTAGGGTCCCCTCTCTCACTTCACTTCCTGCTGGTCTTCACGCTGTATTTCCCCCTTTTCCAACCAGGCAAAACTCCAAGGACCGTCATTCACAGATGACAATGTGAATGGCGCCCCCTCAAGTTATGCAGTACAGCTGCCCTGCTGTCTTCCCCAATCTAGTTTCTCATCTGGCCTCTTCCTGCTCAGATTTCACTCCTATTTTTAAAGTAGGGAATGTGAGATCAGACAGGGATCTTGGAGACAATGTAAAGCCATGGTGACATGGAGACCAATGTTAACCAAACACACATTCATATCCTTGATCACCGTGCTACTCATTTCTTTATTGCTTTTAGTATTGAGACAGGCCAGGTTTTGGTTTGAATTCAGTCGCTGCCTGCTGTGAGGCCTGAACAAATATCACACCCTCTCTGACACTCAGTTTCCTTATGTGTAAAATGGGGGTGATTAGAACTACTTTGTTGGGTGGTGAAGCTTAAAAATGACATTTGTAAAATGCCTGGCACAACACCGACCCTTGATAAATGGTACCCTTACCTCATGCTTATCTCAAGCTTAGGCTGATGGATAGTACAGGGGGGAAAATGGATTAATGCAGCTTGGTAGGCAAAGTCTTTCTTAGAGTGAGTCCCAGTTCAGGTTGGTGGGGGTTATAATAATTGATTGAAAGTTTAGGCCTGCCATGGTAGCTCATGCCTGTAATCCCAGCATTTTTTGAGGCCAATCCAGGAGGATCGCTTGAGGCTGGGAGTTCTAGCCCAGCCTTGGCAACATCGAGACACCCCTTCTCTACAAAAAGTTTAAAAATTAGCTAGATGTGGTGGCCTGGTTGTAGTCCTAGCTGCTCTAGAGGCTGAGGCAGGTAATGGCATGGCTGTAGTCCTCTATATTCAGGAGGCTCAGGTGGGAGGATTGCTTGAGCCCAGGAGATAGAGGCTGCAGTGAGCCAAAAATCACGCCACTGCACTCCAGCCTGGGCAACAGAGCAAGACCATTTCTCATAAAAACAAAACAAAACAAGAAAATATCAGGCCTTTGACTTTCTCCAACTTCCTCATTGTCAAGAGGAGAAAACAGCCCAGAGTGTCAAGTGCCCTGGGGCCCTGCAGCTGAGACAGAAACTGGTTTCTAGACTTTGGGCCAGCACCAAGGATTTCCCCAACATCCCCTCCTATTAGGTATTTTTCCTCCCAGCCTCTTCCCTTGTCCTCAGGTCCCTGGGATGCAGGAGATTCTGCTCATTGGCTTCTACCAACCTGATGAGCCCCTCACCCAGTTCCTCGAAGCCGCCCAGCAGGAGTTTCACCTTCCGGTCAGGTGTTTGTGCACACATTCATATATGGTGGGTTGGGAATGCCCTGGGCCTCTGAGTTCTTGGGAATGGGTTGAATCAGCATTTGCTGGAGTTCATCTTCACCTACTAGAAGGATTATTTGGACATCTCTGAATTCCTGAATATATGGAGTTTCTCTGTGGACCTTGGGCAGGAGTACTCCTGGGAGCAGGGGCGGTCAGGTGCCCTGGTTCACGATATCTGTCTCATCAGATCCACTGAGCTGACTCTGGGGTCCCTGGGGACAGGTACCTGCAGGAATTTGCCCCCCTAGGCACAGGGGGTGGTCTCTACCATTTTCGAGACCAGATCCTGGCTGGGGGCCCCGAGGCATTCTTCGTGCTCAATGCTGATGTCTGCTCCGACTTCCCCTTGAGTGCTATGTTGGAAGCCCACCGACACCAGCGTCACCCTTTCTTACTCCTTGGCACAACGGTGAGGGGGCCAGGAGGGCTGGAGGGTGTAGAGGAGGTAATTTTAAGAGCTTCCTGGAATGCAGGGTGTTGGGGAGGCCGGGGCGCCCTGGGATTTGGTGTGGGAGCTGGCGCCGGGGGGAGATGTGCTGCTCTGGCAGGCTTGGAGGTGTTAGTGGAGACCCCGAGCCCTCTGGCTGTTCAGAAGTAGGGAGGGGGAGGGCAGCTGTCAGTTTCCACCCTTGCTGAAAGCCTGTCAGTGGCAGAGCTGCATGCCAGGTGCTGTAGGGGAGGGAAAGGAAGAAAAACAAACCTGGCTGCCCTGGAGCAGGCGGGTCACTGTCTCGGGTGTGTCTGTCTTTCAGGCTAACAGGACGCAATCTCTCAACTACGGCTGCATGGTTGAGAATCCACAGACGCATGAGGTGAGAGCAGAAAGGGGGCTGGGTGGGTGCCTACTCTGTGTCATCATCCCCCCCCACCTCGGGCCTCTAGAGAATGCTGGCATGGTATGGGGTGGGCCCTGGTCTTGTCAGACAGGTGAGACACTCCCAATTAATCATCTTATTTATATCCCTTTAAGAAAGACTGACCAGGAGGAGAGGGGAATGGTTAATTTCCCTGGGGGTGGTACTTTAATAAATGTATGCACAGTGCATGATGGGAACACCAAGGGGGCCCCAACCCAACCCTGCCGTGGTGGGAGTGGGGAGGGCTTCCTGGAGGAAGCACGGTCTGAGCAGAGTCAGACTTGTCTAGATGACAGAGGAGACAGGAGGGTACTGCAGGCAGAGGGAAAGGCAGGTGCAAAGGCCTGGAGGCAGGCAGTAACGTACTGGAGGCAGGAGCATGATAGGCAAGCAGCAGGGCTCTGTCCTTGCTTGCGAAACTCCCTTCTCCTAAGCCCCTTGACTTTCACAGAATCCCCCCCACCTTTATTGATTTATTTATTTTGAGACAGGATCTCACTTTGTCACCCAGGCTGGAGTGCAGGGGTGTGATCTTGGCTGACTGCATCCTCCCAGGTTCAAGCCATCCTCCCACTTCAGCCCCTCCCCCCCTCACCAAGTAGCTGGTACTACAGGTGTGTGCCACCACGCCCGGCTAATTTTTTTTGTTTGAAATGGAGTCTCACTCTGTTGCCCAGGCTGGAATGCAGTGATATGATCTTGGCTCTCTGCAGCCTGGGTTCAAGCAATTCTCCTGCCTCAGCCTCCTGAGTAGCTGGGATTACAGGCGTGTACCACCACGCCAGGCTAATTTTTGTATTTTTAGTAGAGACGGGGTTTCACCATGTTGGCCAGGCTGG